ATGCCCATTCACTGTAACATTGGTACTGTCCTCCTCATCAGTTTGACTAGATTTAGAAGAGTCCCTGAAGCCCTTCTTGATAATGCCGCCAAAGAATGATTCAGCTCTTTTGTTGGCTCTCAGTTGACCTTCTCCTCTACTCACTTCACTTGAATCTTGAGATGTCCCAGTATTGGAGTACTCATTGGATGATATATCAATCTCAGTTGCGAGTGATGAATCTTTCATAGAATTTTGCCATGAAACAACCCTCTTTGGCATCTCTTTCTCCTGTTCAGAGCGTCCACTCACATTTCCCTTTCCAGATCGATGGTATTTAGTAGAGTAGTCAAAATGATCTTGAAGGGGTGAACCAGCAGCTGGTGGTGACGCATCAACTTTAATTGGCAGCTCAGCAGAGATGGCATTTTTTCTTGCAGCAGTCAAACTCTCTGGATCGTCCTCATCGTCAGAAGTACAGGAAGGTGTAGCTAGAAGGCTCTTCATTTCTGCAGACTTGTTTGAGTTAAAACCCTGAGCTGTCGATGATGAAACCAGTTCTCTATCCATTGACTGATAATCACAACCGGAATTATCATAATCCTCGGATGAAAAGTTCATGCTAGCCCCAGTTAGATGGCCATGGTTATGTGAATTACCATCTTTCTTCACTACATTAGAGCTATTATCAACCTCTGCGAAAGTTTTCTTTGCTTCTCCAGCAACAGAAACAAGAAGTCGCTTGTTGGTAACTTCATAAAGGATGACCGTAGAGCATGCCCCACATCTCATCTCCTTTTGAATTTTTCCCATGAGCAAAACTTTCTTAGGCATTTCCAGCAATTCAAAACAATTGCAACATGCCACAAATGGAGCAGCACCAGCTATGGGGCGGCAATGCCGCACACCAGGGGCCGCCACTACCCTTGGAGGACGGCGATGAACAAATCCACCCACTTCAGAATTAACATCACTGGACCATCTTGTATGGAATTGTGGATTAGGATTATTAAATGGAGGAGGATTGGAAATTTTACTATTACAATGTTGTGGACCAAATGCACCAAGGTGTTCATGATGAGAGAACATCGGGTCGTTCGGGACAGTTGAAACCCTTTTGTCATAGAAGCCAGTAGTTCTAACAGGTGGAGGAACTTGGTGGTATTTGTTGTAGCAATGGAAACAGGAGCAAGATGGATGATGAGGGTTCATATCAGGTGGGTATGTTTCATATGGATCCTTCTGGACCATATCATTGTCCATATAGAGCCCGGAATAGTATGGGTGAGGTGGCTGCTGTTGGAAAGGACCTGGTGCTTGGAGGGGTACTCTCCTTGGCATATGGGATCTAAAAGGATCGCCAAATCCTTGACTTTGATATGATCTATGAATTGGAGGGTAAAAATTATGCATAAGCATTTCCTGCTTACTTGAAAAAGGAGATGGTTCTGCATAAGGACTAATATAAGGAGGTCTTGCAACATGTTTATCAGCTGCAGGATATTGCATTGAAGCTCTTTTCAACCCCAAAGAGACATCAGGAATCCAGTACTCAGAACCACTATAAGGATCCTGATGAACTATCCTCCTGTCTGGAGGAACCTTTTCTTGGGGTTTGTCGGCTACATTACAAGACCTACTAATTTGATCCTTCAGCTCATCAATTCTCTTCAAAAGCTCTGCTCGATCTTGTTCATAATACTCCACCTTATTAAACCCACTTGAGTCATTCCTATTCTTCTCTGGCTCATCGTAACCATAACTGGACCCTAACTGTAACTGGTAATTCGAAGGACTCTCTTCAGGGTACTTTGAAGATGAATATCTCACATCCTCTACATCAAACCTTTCGGTCCTCCTCATCCCCTCCATCTCACCTCTCTCCCCAAATCTCCAATCTGACATTCGCCTTCCTGACCCAGTTGCATTTCCCTGTTGCAGTCTCAAGTTCTCAAATTCTTTTGACATCTTTGCATGACCGAATTCATCAATATTCTTATTGATCTCCAGATCATTTTCAACACCCCACTTATCAGCTCTTATCACCGAATCTTTCCTCTTCTCAGATCTACTAGAACTACCATTCGACTTACAATCATTCTCAGACCCATCACTGAAAACCTCCCGCCTCACCATTCGTTTATCCAATAAGACAAAATTCTCCGATTTCTCAGAAAATTTCTCTGAAACCCCTCTTATCCTTTCTTCATCAGACTTCTCTGAGAATGAATCTGCCTCAACAGTATTATTCTTCGCTGCAAATTAAAGAAAAAGGAAATTTCCTATTTTACAACATTGCACATATGCGAAAGAAAATAAAGAAAGTGGAGGAAAATAAAAGGAAGTATAACATCTTAATTTCAAGTTCTTAACTTTTTCCCAGTATTTAGGACCCAACAAAACAAGAAAACTATACGCAAAATCAACAAGAACAAAACATTTAGTTATGACTGCAATTTTCCGATCTATTAGTAAGTATTCCTGGGAACCAAACAGAAAATAACAAAGAGAGAATTGAAGAAAGCGTACCTCGAAGAACAGCACCACAAGCACCACACTGATAAACAGAGTAATCAGTGACCTCTGGTAGTAGGTTTTCGCACTTTGGGCAACGAACCAGACGAACGTTCGCTGGTTCAGACATTGTTGTAGATGAACTTCAAAACAAAAGCTTATTCAAACCCAAAATATAAACGATATATCATTCCAAGAAATCGAAATATATGAACGGTTCTGCTTTAATTTCACTCAGAAATCTAACAGAAACATAGACGCCGTCCAAACAATACCGAAAGAAGAAAAAATCTCTTGCTTCGAAAAAGTGAGTTCAGAGAAAATCAGAGAGTTTCTGAGACACACACAGCTTTTCCGAGCTGCAGACGAAAAAGAGAGAGAGAGAGAGAGAGAGAGAGAGAGAGAGTCTAATGTTTCTGCAGCATTCTTTGCCTCACAATTGTATGTGTTTTAGTTCAGATTCTTCAGAATATAGGTAAGAGGTGATAGATAGGAAAGCTATTTCGGTGGTGTTAGTGTAATCGAAGCAAAATGCTGATATAAGTCAGAAAAAATTTCAGTTACACCCCTTATAAATTATTGTAATTCTAAAACATCCTTTACATTATCTAAAATAACACTATGTCCCATTTCAGTTAATTTGTCTATTTCATATCACCCCTATGATTCTTTCGTACCTACAATCGTAAGCCACCACGACGTACCAAAAATTCACACTACCACCAAGCACGCATGCATAAGTTTAGACACACAGTCCTTTATATGAACCACCACCACCACCACCACCAACGCTTCACACACCATAAAATATTTTTTCTTTTTCCTTTTTGTCTATGTGTGGGTGAGAGAGAGAGAGAGAGAATTCAAGAAAAGAAATACAATATCTTTAACTGTAAATCCATCTCAATTCAATTAGTCCTCTAAAGGTCACAAGGTCGAACTCAAAGCACACGATTTTTACCTATACCAATCGAGGTGGTAGTTGCAACGCGAGATTGCGAAGAAGAAGTGATAGTAAGGAGCAGGGGGTAAGGGTTGGAGATGGTGATCGTTGTTGGGAGTAGAATATTACTAATAAAAATATCTTAACAAGAAAAATTTTTAATTTATTATTTTGTTCTTATAAAAAATTATAAAGGCTAGCGTGCCTTTTTGTATTTAAATATTCAAATTACTTTTATATTCATTTATACTTAAATAACAAACTAACCTCGAGCATATGATCTATCTTTACAAAATTTTAGATAGTCATGTTACTCTTAATAGGATATATAAAAATATTATTCTTTTTTTGTCCAAAGCTCAATTATTAATACATATCGACTATTTTATTGATACAATATCATCTTCGGTGCTAACAAATTAATATATATATTTTTTTTCTTTACATCCAAATATAAACAATTTAAGTATGATAAACATAAGATAAAATCTAATTTAACTATATAATTATTTTTATACATTTTATCAAATATTTTAATGAAAACATTCACGTGGTACATTACTAGTCATATAAAAAACATCAAGTCTATCCATCATTAATATTGCAAACCGTAAGGGGGTATCAGTGTAATTTGCCCTAGAATTAACGAAGTTGTACTCTTCTGCACAACGTGGTCACATGCTCTTGCTCCGTAATGAGATGGATGAAACAACGCTCACAATGAATGAATTGAATTTTCCAAGTCAAACTAGGGGCCTAGTCATTTAATATTTTCAATTTTTTCTTTTTTTGGAGGGGCCGAGGCCTAATATTAAATAAGTTTAGCCACATGACCAATTACAACTTCTAAGCAAACCGTGACCATGAAATAGTCCAAGACAAATTCGAGAACAAAATCGATAGATTCAGATGATAGAAGGTAATGATCAGAATGCAACGACTAATTCAGACATGATGATATAGGATAATTTGAACACCCTACAAGTCACCGACGAATATTAAAATTGTAAACATTTTTTTTCTTAATTTTGTAAAACGTTTTACACGAAAATTTCTCTTAAGTTTGAATCCCACCCTAGTTACATGTAATATTGCTCTTTATGCTCATAAATTCATAGAACAAAATGGAAGACCAAGGGTGAGATCTATTGGATAATAAAAATGAAAAATCTAGGCAAAGTAACAAACTTGCTTGTAGCATTCTTTTTGTTAATCAAAAATTATAATAAGAGAAGACAACGAGGTTCAAATTGACAAGTAAGAGCAAATCATGAAGTGAATTCCACAATCACCTTTTAGGGTTAATTACAAAATACCTCTTCAAAATTCCACAATCTCTTAAGCATTTCACCTTTTAGGGTTTTACTTGTCGACGGGTTCTGGTGATTTCTTGGGGATATTAGGGTTGTTGGTTACAAGTGGGTGAATGGGTTTGCTAAAGAGGTTTTTTTTTTTGGGAATAGTGTTGAAGAGGGGTTGGGGTTGGGAAAAAATATAAATAATGCTAGACAATTTAAATAGAATTTAAAAATTATAATTTAAATACGCATCATCTGTTAAAGGTGAGTTGAATATAACCGTTACACTGACAGAGGATTGGATATAACTGTTACACCACATCAGTAATTTAATTATCCGGGGTTAAATGACCAACTTCTCTTAACTATTAATGGTTAGATTAACGGATTTGGAGTAATTGATCTAATATTCAAACTTGAAGGGAATAAATTGTTTAAATTGAAATTAAAGAGATCTAATTACAACATGAGCCAAACTTTGAGAAGATATTTTATAATTAACCCAATTTTGTTTTTTCATTGACCTTATGAGCTTATTTTTCCAGTGAGACAAAAAAAAAAAAAAAAGCATAGTCTTGACCATATGTTAAAAGATGAGAGCGCGTAAGGTCAAATGTCATTTTAGAAGATTACCGTGTTATATTTAATTCCTATTCCTTCACTACCAAACACTCCTAATCAATCAGCTGGACCCGACTCTTGTGTCTCCTGTTACTTGTGTCACTTTTGCTCTGGCCCACCACAGCACCCCCTCCTGGAATATGTCAAAAAAGCAAAAAAAAAAAAAAAAAACTTTGGATCTCATGAATATTTTTTTTTTCAAATTTTAGAATAAACGTATTATGTGTGAGACTCAAAGAGTAATCCCAAAGAAAATAATAATAGAGACGAACTGTAAATTTAAATATTTTGAGTTCAAATTTTGATAATTTATTAGGACCAAGTCATTTGAAAAAAAAAAAGTGATTTATTCATCATAATTCTCTATGATCTCAGCGTAAATGAACTTGTTTTTTTTATTAGACTAGAAAATAGACTAATCGAGATGCGCACAGCTATCTACACACCTCTGATCATTAAAAAAAAAAAAAATAAAAAAATACTACACATCCAACATTGAAACCCAAAATTCTCACCAAAATTGTTCTCTTGTTTATTCTATTTATTTGCGCTCAAGATAAACAAATTTTAATATAAAATTAATCAAATCTCGTGATTATATTCTCGACTCAAATACATTCTGAAATTGACATTATTACCTCTAACCAGTTTTCTTTTTTCCATTTCAATTTTTTCAGCCATGGTAGGTGGGTAAGACCCCCAGCTTTGTCAATGATGTTGCCTGATTGAACTTCTGGATTATAGACACATGATGGTAATGCTTAAGGCTGCTATTGTCATTGGTTTGCTGACTGCTTCCTCCTTTCTTTTTTTAATGGATGATTTTTGCTTTTGCTTTGCTCATCTTGAAACTCAGATAAAGTTCTGTTTTGTATATTTTTTGTTCAATCTTTTGAATTTGTATTTCTTGTATTTTTTGCTATTGGGATGGTTGATCTTCTTATCCCCTATTCAGAATATCAGTCATCTCATAGTATCACCCGTACATTTTCTTTGGTTTTAATGATTTCATCTTACTTACCAAAAAAAAAAAAAATTCTTTCAAATTCGTTGGATTAGTTGCGTATTTTGTGGTCGAAACAGATCTAAATTTCTTGGCGTAATTGGGAACTTTTCAAAGAGAAAGAAAAGGGTTTTGATGGAGTCTATCATTGCTCATCTCAGCCACGAATAGAAGGTATTCCTAGTGAATGTTCATACAAGTTCAAAGCACACTCTTAATCTCTCTTTGGGTAAACATTTGGATTGAAAATTTTAAATTGATATTCTCTGTTCTAGTTTAAAGATATGATATTATAACGTCAATTACAACAATATCGTTTCAACTGTGGAAGATCATAATCATGAGTAATTCAAAATTTTCATAAATCTAAAAGCACATGTGACGTATCAATAAAATTAAGAAAGTTGATGAAATTAGGCTCTACAATCTTCTTTTTTTTATTGTGACGACTATGAAAAAGAACATACAATGGAGATTGTACCCCATTCAAGATAAGAAAATTAACAAGAAAGATAAATAAAAGAAACGTAGTAGGAAACACTCAAAATGAAAAGGAGTTAGTCGCCTTAAAATATCATTGGCTTGGTGATATGGGTTATCTAGAATGAAAACGTGATTTTTCCCCTTTCTTCAAGCGTAATGCAATTGAAAAAAATTAAGTGACGGTAAATTATGTAATTTTGATTATAATGTCAAACTACTTGGTAGTTTCATCTTTAATCCTAACTAGAAAATACATGTTAGTCCATTAGTGCATATGTGGATTATGAACTACAAACTAAGCCTAGAGATAAACGTTTTATCGTTCGAACATGCCACCGAAAAGATACAAAGATGAAATATTTTTCTTTGGTTGAAATACCAAACTTCTTTTTTAATTGTATTTACAACTTGAATCCTATTTTTCTTCAAAAAATGCATATTTTTTTTTTTTCAGATCAAGACTTTTGTCTAGGAATGATTAATCTCATAGTAGACGAATCTTCTAAATAAGGGGCAAAATGAAGAACCCTAATTTTGTAATCATTTTATAATTACAAGGTCAAAATTTCCAGAAAGTCAACCTCAAAGAATGTCAATTTTGATCCTCTTGTCGGCTGTGATATTTTTTTGGATCTCAAGTATGGTTGGGGAGCTAGTCAACATTTATTAAAAAAAAATGGTATCTTGTGGTTGTAGGGTCACTCTCTTATTACATTTCATTCTTATCAGCTGGCATAGTTAATTATTTTTCAACTACTATGTAATTACATATATTATAAGATGACAATGATAATGCTGTTGAGGCGCCAGGGCTCTAGGGCAATTTTTTTTTTTTTAACGGTTGAAGGTGTCCGTACCAATTTATGCACACTTCGACTAATCTCCTCTTCACTTTGATAAAAACAAAAGTCATCCACTCCACCATTCCCACAACAAAATAAGTACTTATATATGATGTCACTCTATTGTAATGATTAAATTTTTAATAAAATTTTTTATTTAATATGTTACTGTTTGATATTATTATTTTGTTATTGAGCGTGTTATTGGTTGATATTATTTTTTTTATTGAGCGTCTTAATGTTTATTGTTATTACACACACACACACACACATATATATATATATAGTATGGGTAATGATGGACAATATTTATAGTATAGGTAATTAAGTAATAAAAAAAAACAATTGAAATGTGTAGTTAATGACAATAATTGGATGAAAAAAAAAGATTTTATAGAGTATAAGTACGACTATGATATTTAAAGTCAAATAAGTTTTAAAAAAGATATTGACAACAAAATATTCATTAATTCAATATCTTTCCTAGGCCTCCAAGGCAGGCCTGCCCATTCCCAGAGGCCCAAAATTATAAAAGTTGGAGTCCAACTTGGTCCGAAACTTCCTTAAGCCCCTAACTACTGGACCGACTATTGGGCTAGATGTGCGCCTAAATAGAACACACTATAGCGAAGAGGCCTAAAAATAGAAATAATAGCTCCATGGTGACCATGCAATGGAAGACATCCATTATGTGCCTACCACTTTGGATAAAGACTTTTGAAAGTGTCCCATATTATTCTCTTAAACCCACGTTTGATGCTGAATCAACTAGGAACTGTATCAATCACGTTGGCTTGAATACATTAGATACTAACTTGAAGTGGTACAACGACGAACCGTAAACTCAGACATCTAGAATTTAAATTTTGACAACTTTTTGAGACCAAGTCATGAGGGAATTTTTTTCATGAATACCTTAATCCTAGCGTAGATGGTTTGCTTTTGACCAAACTGATGAAGGAATTAATTAAAGTATGCATAAATTGGTCTGAACATCCATAACCGTTGAAAAAAATATTAGAACTGACATTTAAGTCCAGGTCTTGCAAGAACCGACATGTTTCAATTATCGTGTATATTTATGAAGGATTGTGTGTTTCTTGAATTTACTTAATAATTATAAATGTAATATAATTGACTAGAAAATTCAAATGAAACTCAAAAAATTATAATCTATATGTATATCATTCATTAGATGAGTGAGTCTCATCAATTTTTTCAATGGGATCCACTCATCTCACACTCATCCAATGAATGATATGTATTTGAGTTGTAATTTTTTGAATTTCATTTGAATTATGCAACATTTTTCATATAATTGAGACGGTTCTCAAATATGGACTAAAAAAACAGGTAGCGTACACACAATACATTATAATATGTGCTATAATCATATAATCAAAATTATCACCAATGTAAATTTGCTTCCATAATATTCAATAGTGACAATTAACAAGTTCATTGCCCTCCAAAGAATTTTAGCCATTTTCTTTCTAGAGGCCCCTTACCCTCTATAAAATTCATGTTAAACAACATCATAGTTGACCTCAAATTGGCATTTGACTAATGTTCTGTAACTCCACCAGAACCCCTTTTCCTGTCTTAAAAGAACTTACTAAAAAAAAACTACAAATTTAAACTTATAATTTTAAATTCTTCTTTGTATATCCAAAAGTTCTCATTCCTAAAATACATTTAACATAATTTTGCTATTTTATTTGATCGTAAGCAACACTCTAGAATTTCTCTATGCTTATTTATAGTTCATTTAGTGATTGAACAAGAGCATAGTTTGCATTAATTGGAGAAACATGTTTACTACAGTATTAATCATAAATGAGTGTTTAACTGAAAACGGACTAGAAATATTTTGTCTTCCCCATCGATTACACGTGAAAAATCATAATTAAGAGGAGTGTCTCAATTAAATATCCCGCGTAAATGAAAACTTCATAAATCGATCTACAAAATCATTTTATGCAGAAGCACACAGTTAGAAAACGACTTTAAAATCATGAACCACAATGCCTTTAATAGTTAGTTGCCCAAACATTTCCTCCATGAACTAATCTGATTACACAACTTTTGTAGATCTCATGTTCCACCTTCTTGGGCTTGTCTTCTTTTCCTCTATCCATCTTCCTCTTCCACGGAGTCTTCCCCAATAATTCAGTCAAAAAGGACACCACAGAAGACCCTCCGATCTTTCCCGGGACCCCGATGTTTGATGGTAATAGCATCGAAGGGAACACGCCCGATCGACCGAGAGATGGTGGTGTCATAAGATGCCTATCAATGTGATTGATAATTGAAGGCAGTTCATATGAATCATACAATGGGCTACCACAATCCCATATCTGTATTGCTTAATCTTCTTCTCTTCTTTCATCATATTTTTCTGGAGGAACTTTAAACGTAGAATTATGGTATCCTAAAATCACATCATAATGGGTCTTTACACGACTTTAATTGATGTGGCCTACTTAGTACCATTTGGTAACATTTTCTAAAAATACTCGCACTTTTTTCTTGTGGGATTTACTCTCATAATGTCCAGGATAATTATTTATATACGAAATATTATGTATTTACATCATTGTTATAAAATAATAATTACATATGATTTTACTTTAATTTAAAAAAAAAAGTATTTTACCAATGATAACTAAGCTAATTGTGACAAGAGAGGTAACAAACTAGTACGAAGTTGAAGTATTTATTTTATTCCTAATGAATTTATCAAAACAGACCTAGACAGACTGAATAAGAGTTTGAAATCACCAAACAAAGGGTATTTGTCTCAAATTCAACCAAAAGCAGTACTAAAGTAGCTCTTGGCAACATTGTTACAAAGTATCTGCAAGACTCTACTATTACTGGCCCCGACACATCGAGGCGTTTTGAACTGGCTAACAGCACCCCCTAATCCTACATAATGATCTATAATCTTATGGAAGGTACCTCTCTTCACGACTCGGAGCTCCAGTGCCCCAATGGTTGTGACCTTGCGAGAGCTCACATACCCTACATCAACAAATGATCCGTCCAAACAATTGCAGCATTGCTTCAAAACTTCCTCACTTGCTTCACCACTCACCTCCCAGAAGATGACATAGTGGCCAGGTTCTGTGGACATGTCGACCCAGCTCGTGAAATCGACCACTTCTAGCTTTTCTTCAGCTAAAAGCTTGGCTGCTGCTTCCACAGCCAACTGTAAATCTCTCTCTGTGTTCTTGTCAATGTTAATGTTGAGTAGAAGATTTCTCCTGCAAACGAAATGGAGTTCTGGGGTCGAGTTGTGGAAGCCCATTACCTTAACCACATCTCCCAACCTATAACGATATAAACCTGAAAAACAATTTAAACTACTTATATCTTGAAATATATGAACATAAAAGGTAAATATAATTTAGTTGGGTTGGTTCACGTGTGCACAAACGAGCACTTGCCGCAACAGCAGGAAACTATGATCGATGGACTCAGACACTTAGCTACATCGGCATACAAAAGTAATATTGTTTTGAATGAGACTTTGTTTCACTTATTTTTGTTTTTTTGAGAAACATCGGTAAAATTATATTACTCAAGAATGTAAAAGAGGCATGGCACGTTCGTGAAGTCTGTGCCTTCTGTACCACCACGAGAAGGTTCCTAGGCAGATCCCACTCCTAAACTCTCAAGTTGAGCAAAATTTGGCTTAAGAAAACCTAATTTATGCCCTTGTTGTAGTAATAATTGAAAAGAATCAAACAATCATGACATTAACTTGGTGATATTTAAGGTATGTCTTCAATGATTGGTGAAAAATGAGTAAATTGGATTTAAATACTGGAATGCAAGAAGTTAGAAGTGGATCACATCAATAATTGTACTATTCATCCCCTGTTAATCGAGGGTTTAGAGAGATATAGACTACATATAAACCTAATTTTTGATCTTATTTAGTTCAAGTTCTCAAATTAGAATCTACCACCTCGCAATCATTCACCCAACACTTTCACCAATAAAGTTGAAGATGACCCCAGTAAAAAGTACCAAAAATGTGTTGTTTTTCTTTTATCTCTCTATCGTTATTAATTGTCAACAGCTTTAATATTGACTTCTAAGTAACTAAATCTCGGATTTTTTCTACTTAACATTTCAAAGAAACCCAAAGGTCAAGTAGTCTATTTCATCCAACATTAACTAGTAACACTAATGCTGATCATGATGGGTCATGATCCCTGATTGAACATCTCCAGTGACTTGTTATTTCTATTTTCTGCAAGTTTGTTTTAGCGTAAAAGAAGACATCAATGATTGTTAAATTGTCTCAATCACGGACCAGATACGCATATAGTCATCTAAATACATAGACATTCAAATGAATTTCAACTCTTGTGAAGCCATATAATAATATTCTTTAGCGTAATGGGATGCACATGGGACCAAAAATACTGATATTGTGCAAGTATTTGCATCTGTATGTCTAACAATGTAATCAACTAGATGCAATTATAAAAAATACGGAGACTATATGCTAGATAGAGTACGAATAGACTTGGTTAATATGGACCAAACCCTCGAAAATATTTTCATTAACCATGGTGCATTGGTAGGAGACCCTTTAACAGAGATAGTATGCCCAATTTGAACTTAAGGCAAAAAAATATATTAAATTGAATCTAAAGTGCAATAAAACTGATCTTTTTTCTTACTATTGTGCCACCAAAAGGGGGGAAATAAAAGATGGCACATGCCCCTCTTCTAGCCTAGTGTAAAAGGAATCTCATCTGTGGAAAAACTAAAGAGAAACAGATTAAAGATTTGAGAGAAACGAGACAGTATGGGAAAGAAGACAGACTACAAGGACAGAAAGATGGGCTCTCCCTCTTTCCAGCACCCACATGCTTAGTATTTAAGGAAAGTTCCTAGCATCTACTAAATGGAAGCCAGTGAGGAACAACCTTGTTTTACTAATCCATTGGTTAACTATCAATTTAAAAGTTCAAAAAGTGAATTTTCCCAAGTATTGACCATGTTCGTTTTTCATATTTTAATTATGAGATAGATAAATCATCTCTCATTGTCATGCTTTTTTGATAAAAAGTGTAAGCAATTTTATAGATTTGCCCTGATGCAGGAAGAGGCAATAGTTAACAGAATCAATTTTGAGCGGGGATAACGCATGACTAAAATGAATGGCGAAGACGGACTCATATAGATGACCACAAATAATTGAGACATAAGACTTGATTTGGTTTGGTTTATCAACTCTAAAATATGCATGCCTGTAATAGTTAAAAACTTTAGTACCTGCAAAATTGGTGACCAATATCTCATACTCTACGCCAACCTTGACTTCAGTCAGACCAACTGGATCAGGCTCCACTGAGAGAAAGAGGGACTCATCTTTATTTAGTTTCGGACCCTGACCATTATCCCTCAGAGGAATAAATTCAAAATAACCAATATTAGGAAGCACTGCAAAAGTGGCTAACTCAGGAGGCAAATTTGGGTTGACATTAGCTCCAATCCACCCTTCAGAAGACCCATAATCTGCACTCAGCAAGGGTATCTTCCCAGCATAATGCCCTAATTTTTTCAAATAGGGTTCCATTGATCCAGTCATGATTCCATATATATACTTCACATTGGGAAATAAAGCTGGTATTAAACCATACCAATTACTTAATCCCATGCACTTTTTATGGATCATACTCGCCAATTCAGGGTTTGGCTTTAGCAGCTTCAACATAGCTGTCCGGACGGATGGCACAGTAACTTGGCTGGCTAGGACCCCATCATGGATATCAGTACATAGTTCTTCCCAAACTAGTTCAAAGGTTCGGAAGGCCTGGATGATGCTGTGCGCAAAAGCAGAGGAAATAACTTCAACTTCATCCCAATAAATAAGTCCACAAAGAAGATGGCAGTATAAGGATTGGTGAAAATCGGGGCCAAATATCACTTCATCGGGACTACAACATGGGGTTTGCATTGCCTTCATTGTTTTCTTGTACTCTGAACTACGATACACATTTGTAGTAGCAGTTCCTGCTGCCAGACCCCCCTTTGTTTTAAACTGCTTGCTACTGTAGATAAAATTCAAGGCTTTGCCATTGCCAATTGGAAATTCTCTGCAGAAGATAGTTTATAACATAAGCAGATAACTAACACAGACCATATATAAAAACAAACACATTAACGAAAGCAAAATGCAGTTTTTTAAAAGTAAGTATAAGGACGAAAGGTCGATGGCATTCTTTGTTTATATCCCTTGGGTTATAAGGCCTGCTCAGCTTTCTATCATTTATCCATTTGGACGGCCAAGAAAAGACCCAAAGAAACTTGTAATAATAGAAACATTAATCATCTAGGCTAATTTCCACAGTGAGGATGTATCATGTATCAAAAGTGAAATGACAACGTTTGTTACTGGCAATATCCTCGTTAAACAGCACTAATCCAAAGATTATGACAGATCATGTTCACCAATAAATGACCCGAAATTGGATCTTGGTCTATTTGAAGTTGTTCCTTTTAATCGTACTCAAAGATTTTTTCTTGTCTCTCTTTCTTTTCTGAACAAATGGGCATGCAGGATACTAACATGAAATTTGGATAAGAAAGAAGGGCATTCTCACTATTTAGAAACATAGAGCAAAAAGTTGTTTGATAGAAAGCCGGATACGTTTGATAGGACGAAACCTTTAACTGAATAGGACATTGAAAAGAAAAAAAAGAGAGAAATTCTAGTAGATATAGTAAATCTGGACATCTGTCCGAATTGACAAATCCCAACAACTCTAAACTCTGGGAAATAATACTGGCAACTCCTCAACCAACCAACCCCCCCCCCCCCCCCACCCACCCAAAACACCAAAAAACAATTAGAAAAAAGCAAAACTTTATCAAATACAAGAAAATGGTATGATTCTAAAATTAGACTCTAGAACTCTGTCAAAATGAAAAAAAGAAGACTCTAGAGCCCAAAGTCAAAAGAAAACAAAAGGTCTCTCAAAAGAATATATAAATGACTCTCTTCAATACACAGGTGTATAGTACCTGTTTCTAAACGCAAAAGATGTCTTAAATATCTGCATTGTGGATTCCGTCAATTCATCATTAAAAGGGACAAACTTGGGCATTCCCTGAGTAGTACCAGAACTGCAAAAAGAAAAAGGAACCAAAAAAAAAAAAAGATCAACACCTTAAACTTACTAAAAAATAATGCAATTTAAAAGGTAGGAGAATCAAAAGAAAAGTACCTTAATGAGATACACGTTATTTGTTTTCCGGTAAGAATTGGGGAAGCATCACCATCCACAATCCGCTGAATGTATGGTTCCAAATCCTTGTGACTAACAAGAGGAACACAAGCCTTGAAACTCATAGTGTCCGTTCTTCCGTTAAGACCCCATTTCTGCAAATACTCCGTCTCACCATTTTCTTCCAAAATCTTCCGAAGGGTCTCTCGTTGAACTCTCTCAGCATCCCTCGTCAGAGCCTCAAATTCTTCTATAACTTCGTTGATGTCCAATTTTTCATCCATCTTCTCTAACATGGTTACTGACCTTCAACAGATACAATAATTATCAACAGATTCTAGAAAGTTTCAATTTGAGACTTCAGAAAATACAGAAAATTGAATTATGAACAGAGTTGAAATTAACCAACAAATGACAGATAAAACAATTTGAGCACGCGTAATTTTGCAGTCAAAAGAGTCAAAACAAAAAATAAAAATGACCAAGTTCAATGGCAAAGAAATGGAATCTGTCAAACACTTTCGTCTTTCTATGAAAACTTACAGAACTATGGTTCCACCTCAAAAAATGATAAATAAATAGAGCAGAAAAACGAAGTCAACGGTTTCAAAGGAACAGCGAAAAAGCAAGAAAAAGTTCACAGAAGACGAGAACCAATTCCGAAAAACAGAAGTATCCAGTATTTACTCAGTCCCAATTCGAAGGATGAGCACCGCCTCCTCGTTGACTTTAGTCAACTTAGTCAGCCGTTAAAAATCGCTAGAAAAGAAAAAAAAATTGGAGAAAAAAGTTAATTCATGAAACTTTTTCCTAATAATAATTGTTGCACATAAAATGCAAAAGAAATATAATTTTCAGTCAACAACAAATAAAAAAAAGGCCACAAATTTCAAATATCAGCCTAACCACAATTGACAATTATGTATTGATTTATATACACTTCTATGTATATTTTTATTTATATAAATATAAAAACAGAAAGGTGAGTAACACGAGAATCAGACCAAAAACCAAAAGTTCTCGAGAAAGATTGAAATTAAGAGATTTTCGGAAGAAAAAAAAATAATCACTTTACTGATCAAAAGACTTGGTAGTTAAGGGTCAAGACATCAAGATGAAAAATCTATACAGAAGTTGAAATGATGGATTGAAAACTCTGAATTCAACGGAGAAAATTCAAATACAAACAGAAGTCCTTACATCAAAATTCAATACCACAAACACCAGTACCAATCAAGCCACAGCTCGCAGACACAGAATCCTCTGTTACACCCCTCGTAAATAACAATTAGATATAGAAATATGAAGCACAGAGAGATTTCGACGGTTACAATGGAAGATGTAGTGGCCGGCTCCGGCTCAGTGTAACTTTCCACGAGGTTGAAAGTGATCTCGATCTTGAAGTCAGTCAGAACAGCAGAGACCGTAAGACTGCGTGCGTTTGTGTGTGTGTGTGTGTGTGTGTGAGAGAGAGAGAGAGAGAGAGACTTATAGAATTCACCACTTCGATGCTGGCTTGAGCTCGAACCGTGAGGTACAAATGGAGAATGAGACAAACACTAAGCTGCTTTCTCTCAATACTATGCATCCATATTTGCGTGAGACAGAGACTTTTAGGGAGAGAGAGAGAGGGTTTTTATAATGGTTATTGGGGGTTGTCTTCCCCCTCCTCGGTTGGAAGGTTGAGGATTGGGAGGGAGTGATCGAAGATTCTTTATGGTTATTAGATTTATATATTGGCGTTACGACGCAGTCCATTGAATGAGCCGTAATGTGTTTTACCCAATATACCCATGGTTTGTCCTTGGAATTACGGGACAAAAAAAATCAGAATCTGGTACTTGGAGATTCCATTATTATTATTTTCAAATTCCAATGTTACCTCTCCATCAAATATACCAAAATATGTGTGAGACATATTTAATTTTTTATTTTTTTAATATTAAAATTCTGATATTTAACCATTGATTTGTTTTAATTTCTATAAAAATGAAAACATTTTGATATTTTAATATAAAAAAAAAATATTTTTTGATCTTTGATCTCACAATTACTATATATATGTTCTTTATGATTCAACTTATTTCAAGTTTTAAATAAACAAACTTTGAGCAAGTTTTGATTTGCAGCAAATCTCAAATTGTTATCCTTCGTGGCTCGATTCATTTGCAACCTTACCTTGTCACCTTCTTAATAATGGTATGTAGATTATAGACAGGACATTTAAATGTGTATCACATTTCTTAATTTAAATTAAAATTTTTTATTCAATTTCATTCGGTAGTAAATTATTTATTACTAGTATACATGAGACTTATGGTCCGTTTGGTAAAAGGGAAAGAAAGTTTGAGGGATAAAAAAATAAAAGGAATAGACTTTCTATCATTTGAGGAAGAAAAAAAATTTTATCTCTTTTTTCTTTGGTACGATGGAGGAAAGTTGGAAGGATTATTTTTTCATTGTTTGGTATTGAAGGAAAAATGAAAAGAAGGTAAGCACATAAACTTCAATTTACCATTTTACCCTCACAAAAAATTGTTATAATGCCCTTATATGTTTCACTTGTAGAAATTTTTCTCCTTCAACTTTTTATTTTTGAAAACGTTAAAAAAAAAAAAAAAAAAAAGAGTATGTTGTTGTTTAAGAGCATCTCCAATAATAGTAGCTATTTTAGCTACCCAAAAAATAACTTTTTTTATTTTAGTTATTTATTTTTTCAATACACGCTCCAACAAAATCTCTATATTTTTAACTCATTCTTTTAAATATTATTTATCATCCCTTTTGTATTATATTTTTTAGAAATAGTAAAAAGGAAAAAGAGAGAGAATGGAAGAAATGAGAGGGATAGAGAGAAGATAATATATATTATGTTTACATATATTTTTTACATATTGTTATTATGTAAAATAGCAAAAATCTATTTTACAGCATATTAACATAATCTATGGGAGTGCTATTTTTAGTTTTAATTAATTAAAATTTGTCTATTTTAAACATTTGAAACAGGAGATTCTAAAAGCTCACATGTGACAAGTCAAATGCCTCGCCAAATGGAATGTGGTGTAAAATTGAACACGTGGAATAGTTGGAGAATGGAGAACTTTGACATGGTTAAATAAGTAATTAGAGCACAGTAATTTAAAATGATCCATTCTTTCTTCAGTTTTCCACCCACAATCGGACGGATTATTTTTGGTGGGCGTGGGTGGTATTTCCTTCCAATTTTTTTATCCACCATTTTTCCATCGAAACCAAATGGTGGAAAATCAATCTCTCCTTCCTATTTTCCACTCTTTATTTTTCATCCTCTTTATTTTTCCTCGAACCAAACACAGGGTAACTATTTATTAGTGAGGTATTCATCTCTACATGATAAATAATTTATCATTGAGTAAACTTAAAAAAAAAAGTGTAATAAAGAGAATCTCAACTATTTAATTTAAAGTCAAAACAAATTGAAGCGGATTTAAAGTTGTTCAATATCAAAAATTTTTGATAGCGTGTAATCAGTCGGCACGTGGTTTGTACACACAACTTAGAAGTTATTGGTGGTCAACAGTATTTTAACCACCAAACATAAAAGTTTTTTTGTTTTTTAAGTTTAACACTCAAGATGTTCATGTCAATTTATGTGTACCTCGATTAATCTTTTTTTCGATTCTGTCAAAGGTAAGTTATTCGGGTATTTCTAAGAATCTCTTATGATCTGGCTTCAAAAGATTATTAAAATTTGAATTCAGGACGTATGAATATATAGTGAAGCCAAATGCAATTTATGTGTCTCTAAAATTTAAGAATGACCCCTATAATCTTAATTAATTAAATTTAACAGTATGCCTTCATTTTATATTGCTTAGGGAATAAATGGAATTTTTTTTTTGTCGAGGAGGGGTTTTTTGTGTAAAAACTGAGATAGTTTGTGTATTGGTTCAACCACTTTGAAAAAAAAAAAATACAAAGAAAGTAATGTCTTTGGGTGTTGAATAAGCTGCAAGTGGGGCAGCCGTTGAAATAAATATTATTTGAGGGGAAAACAAAAAATATCACAAACCTTACTTCTTGCGAATTTGAGGGGCAAAAAAAGATCATAAAACACGAGGAAGAAACAAAAATTAGGTGGATGGACCTTTTTACCCTTATTCAAAAATAATATATGGTATATCTAAGTCCAAAAATTAAAAAAAAAATTATCACTCCGATCTTTTATTTAGGAATGGCAATGGACCGAAGCGAGGGCATGGAGTGTAGTCTCTATTCCCGTACCCGCTTAAAAAAATTTCATTCATCTCCGGTCCACCTCCGTTAATGTGTATAGTTTCATCCTCATCCCCATCCCCATCCGTGGGTAAATTTGCAATCTCCCCCCCCCTCTCCCGCCTACACCTCCTCTCCCACCCCCGTCCACCTTACTCGCCCAAGCCCAAACCAACATAATCCAAAATTTTAAATAAATTTAACATTCTAAATAATCCAACATAATTATAGAATATCATAACATAATTAAAAGTTTGTCATTTACAACATAATATAATTAAAACCTTATCTATAACATAATCTAACGTAATATAATTAAAAGTTTATCTCCCTTGTAAATCCAACACAATATTATGCAACACGACATAATATAACATAACATAATCTAACATAAAAAAATATAAAAAAAAACACAAAAATCTACGCCTTTACCAACCAAAACTATGAAAAAAATCAAGAAATAAAACAATTTTCCAAAAAAAAAAAAAATCATTCAATAATATTTAGATTTATATTTATTTCTTCATTTTTTGTTCTTTTTTCCGGTTTTTTATCCCTTCTTCCAAACTTATTGGTATTGGCATAAAAAACAAATGAAACTGGTATAGGCCAATTCATTTAGAAAACTCGTCTCATCGTGTCATGTTTGGTTGTAATCTATATGTTTGATTACATGTTTTAAATTAGGCTTGATAATGAAGTTATTAACTTTCGAGATAACAAGTTACAAGATTGCTCACAAAAAATTCATTATAACTTACAAGATTGCCTAATATATATAGGATTCGAGAAATCAAATTTAACACATGTTATCCATGTTCTAACAATTAGAATGTTTTCGCTTTCTTCCTTCCTGTTTTGGCACACAAGTTTAAACGTCCCATATGAATGGTTTGGCCATCTTATTTTAAAAAATTAAGTGTACATTTGAGTACATCCCTACATTTGTAATAGTGTAGGACGACTCACCTACTATGGGTTGAAACATTAGAACATGTCTTGATTCGTTTTCTCTTTTTTGTTTAACGGTACGGACGTTCGGGTCAATTTGCGCACATTTTGATTAGTCTCCTCCTTAGTTTGGTCAAAGACAGACTATCCATGTCGGACGTAAGATATTCAAGAAATAACCTAATTTTAAGAAATTGTTAAAATTTAAACTCAATACATCTGAATTTATAACTTTGTCAACATAATTAAAATGAAATGGATAAGTTTGAAATCACAATTAATGCTTTGTGATTCTTGTAATTGCCTCACCCAGATTTGCTAACTACATTATACTCGTCCACGGG